TTTCCTCCCCAAATGTAATTGTAGCCATTTAGTTTAATGAGGAGCTGATAGGAGAGTTGACTCATGAAGGGATACGGTTAGCTACCCAAGCCCTGAAACAAAGCCGAATGCCTCCACATGAAAGAGCATTTGTTTTGAATTTGCTCTGATTTACTGGCATCTCCCTTCCGCGTGCAGAAGTGCAGCGCTGAAAATTCCCAACTGGAGAGACCCAGTCGAGAAAGGAAAATAAACGCACTTTGCAGCAATCCTCCAAAGCTCACTTTCTCCTTTTTTCTACCCCCCCCCTTGCATATTTTAGTTAGCAGAAGGGTGTATTTGAAGAGGACTTTAATGAGTTATTGGCGGGGTGCACGGGGAGCACTTCGGCTTGGTCTTACCTAAGTTTGGGCAGATGGGGATCGGTGATGCTGGGTGGGGAATCCAGCATCCCTCATCCCCTCCAGACCAGGGCTGTTAGACGCTGGATTTGCGGTTCCTTGATGAAAGGACAGCTTTAGGAAAAGCAAAAACCCCCTAATTTTGGTAGATTTGGAAGCTGGAGCAGGAGGCTGAGGAGGGGGACATCACGGGTGGATGGTGGTGGTGGGTTCCTATGGGCTTTGGCCACCAGTGATGGGCAGTGGATGCTGGTGCAGTAGCGGCGTTCAAAGTCGGTAGACCTGCCCTAACGCCCGAAAGCTGGAAGGGCGGGATTTAGTGAGGCAGATCGCTCTCGGCGCTGAGAATTTGGGAATGGGGCCAACCCGGGGTTCACAGCTGCTCTGACAGGGAAACCGCATGGGGGGGGGGGTTGAGAGGACGATGGCAAGAGGAGCATGAAAAAGGGCATGGAAGTGAGCGCCCTTGCCGCTCTCCGTGAGGATCCTTTGATGATGAGGAGTCTCAGGTCTGGCCACCGCCGGGGTCGCAATCTCCTTCTGGAGGCTGAAGGCAGTTTCATTGATGGATACCAGAGGCGCTGGAGGATGTGGGAGGGGGAGTGGCGCAGCCGGGGGGGATGTATGGGGAGTGTTTCCCCCTTGCGATAACCGATCTGAGCCGCTACTTCCCTCC